CATCTGTTTGCAAACTGCAGGTCTACAACCCTAACAAGGCCCTCTGTCTATTATGGTTTAGTCCTGGTTAAGTTGTGTCTAAATGTTGCATACAACTATACTGTATGTGCACAGTGGTCTATATTCAATTATTGGTTAGTTAATATAACAAACAAATAATGCAGTGCAACCCTCGTACAGCTCAAAGATGGGGGCTAGAGGCCAGCCTTGGGGTTAAGGTTGGTTTAGAATTAGGGTTGACTGGAGACGATGCAACTGTAAAACGTGGGCGGCACGGTGGCTGAGTGGATAGCACTCTCGCCTCTCAGCAAGAAGGTCCTGGGTTCAAATCCCGGTTGGACCAGGGCCTTTCTGAGTGGAGTTTGCATGTTCTCCCCGTGTCTGCGTAGGTTTCCTCCGGGTGCTCCGGTTTTCCCTACCACTAAAAATATGTACAATAGGTCTGGCATGTGCCTCCTGTACTAGCACCCCTACTCCCAAAAAATAACAATTGTAAACCGCTTTGAGACTCCAATGTGCAGTGAAAAGGCGGTATATAAATAAAGATTACTACTACTTACTACTAAAACGTTGGCCTCCTGTTTACATGGAGACGTTGTTTCAAGGGGGTGAAAGTGTTGAGAAACAGCCTCCAGAGTGCAGCAAAACAGATACGCTGCCCGGTGAGGGGCTGTTTCACAGTTGTGTGAAGAAAAAGGTGTGAATTCTCTGCCTGCTCTGACCTCCACTTCCCTGCATGTACATTTGGACATGCGCAAAGGTGCTTCTCTAAAAACACCTATGGCCAGTTCGTCTCTGCTGACAGTCTTCACAGGACGCTGCTCGCACGCACGTGAGGGAGAAAAAGTTTTATTTGGAAAATCATTACCATCTAAACCAGTGGGTCCTAAAACAAGTCAACAAGTCCGACTCAAGTCGGTGTCTTGAGGGACAAAAATGGAACATGATTTATTATAAGTCTATTTGTTCTGTCCATAGATCATTCAAACATGCGTGAAACACATTTTGAAAGAGGTTTTTGTAATGCTGACAAAGTCTGTTTCAATTAATCCTTCAACACTGAATAACACGCTCAACATTTGCATTCTCATTAAATATTTGAATATTTGAAGTTTCTCAATTGTAAAGCTCCGAAACTCATTTGACGATAATGTTTCTGCAGAATTGCTCAAAATGCATGCTCAGTTTTTTGGATGCAGATTAGCTGGTTTTCACTTTTTTTGAATATAAATGGATTAAAAGAACAAAAAAGTTGTCTGGACGTGGATATGGCACATTGTGAAAGGAAAGCAGATCACACCAGTTCACAGACTCCTCCGGATCGAGCCTTGAGCTGTGTCCCACTTCAGTCGGGTGCCACCGTATACGCCATCTGTGCAGAGTAACATCTAATGTTCTTGACAATTGTGCCCTTTTACATCTACATTGGTTGCACTGGTTTTAAGAACATGAGTTTGCGTATAATGTAATTGCGGATATATTTTTTAAATGGATTTGGCGCTTGCATTTGAGGGTGGGACTCTCCTCTCATAGATTAATAAGGTGTCAAGGCGGTGAGCAAAAGCATTTAGTGTTAACTTTGATGAGCACGCCTGCCTCATTTATTCTTTGGTGTGCCGACATGAAAGCCATATTAAGTGGAAAATTGGGCTTGATATTTTTAGGTCTTGTTGTCCCACTTTGGAGGCAAATCTTGCTTGGGAATTGAAGGATGCAGCCATGTACTGTAAAGCTGTGAGCAAATACTGAGAAATAATTTCCTCAGAGGCAGATAATTTAGGTTAAGATGTTTGCGTGGAACTATTCAGAATATCTAATGATTTGTGAAAGAAAGTTAAAGCTAAAGATTCTTCAGATGTTTTGGATAAAATATGCACTTGTATAACAATGACTTCACATTAGCATTCATTATGTTCTTATGGCCAGTTTATATAAGTAGCAAAACTGAAAATAAACAGCAATTACTGCAACTGCCTTTGGCTCTAAGTTCTACATGAGAGATTTCCACAAAATCTTTTATGTGCGTTTAAAGAGAACAGGTTCAATGTCTTTCCCAAAGGCACAACAGTAACAACAGTATGAGTTAGTGATGACATATTGATAACAGATATTTTTTGACATATTGTTTCTATCTCTGTGTTGAGTGTGACAGGGGTTGGGGGTTGTTTCCTCTGACCTCTTCTGTTTATTCGGAGGTTTGATCTATACAATTGTGTTACAGATTTTGAAACATATGAGGATGAGAGCACCTCTTTCATGATCTGATATCACCAATTACCTTAAATTCTGGATTATACTCCACAGATTTTTTTCTGCACTTTGAACGCTGTGAAAAAACATTTTGCCAGGTAACAGTAGAGCAACAGAATTGATGAGTAGTTCACAGAGGTACAATTAAATTGTATGATATGTCCATCAGTCATTTGCACTCTACTAGAAGAAAAGCATATCGTTTTTTGGTTCTCTATAGACATGAGAGTGAAAAGAGGCAGATGTTGCTCCTTACCTTTCTGCTTTCACTGGAAGATTAAGAACAGCTGGAGACTCACTTCTTACAGTAATAAGAAGAACGTTTTAAGCTACATTATTCAATATTACAACATGGGATGTTTGAGTTTTATAATTTGGTTCGGCATGTACAAGTACAAAATTAGATTTCTTTCTAAAAGTTAGACCCTGCGGTTTATAGTCTGGAAAATAAACCACACAGTCCAAGAATACTTTTACAAGTGGATCATGGACCTACCCTAACCCTTTTCCTACCCATAATCACAGTGAAACCCGATTTCTAACCCCAAAGCGTAACTATTCTCTAACCCTAACCCAATGTACCAAAGGTCTTGACTACTCTATGATATCAGATTATGCATAAGGGGGAATGGGCACCACACAAGATTCACCATATCATGTTAATTGAGTGATTTGAAATGAAAGTTGACAGATTGTAATCATGAGTATTTTCTACCCAGTGGCATTAACATTCACTGTGGTGTGTCGTGTTTCGACAATGTTGAGCCATTTGAAGTACAAAAAAAACTGCCTGTTAAATTATGAAGAAACCTGCATTTTCTCACTCAGTGAAAATGGCGTTCACTTTCTTCGGGGTCTAAAATATGACTGCTTAAATTGTTGAATAGCTCTATAAAATAGTTTAAAAAAAACCGAAAAAGTTTTTCACAACGGACAATTTTGAGCAGCATTCATTCACATTTTCTGACAAGTTAAGCTTGTGATTTATATTTATTTGAGTTGATTTTGGTACAATATTTTCCTAAATTGTGAATTGGAATGCACAACATTCAGGCTATGTAAAAGCCTTGTATTCTAATGATTGGCTCTCATTCTTTGTTGAAACAGACACCAGGTCTTCTTGCTTTGTTGTTAGGCTTTGTTGGAATTGCTCGTACGTGTATGTTTTGACTTCAGCCCTGTCATTGTTATTCAAAACCGCTGTTTTTTTTTTTTTTACTTGGAGACTCATGAATGGTGAAGTGATAATGGCAACTGAGACAGACAAGGTGAAGAAGATTGACAATAATGAGACATTATTCTGTGAGCAGTTTGCAAGAGGTGTAGGGAGAGAAACAAAAGCACAATAGGAGGGTCCAAAAAGCGAGATTGCATTCAAATTGGTCCCAGGAAAACAATTAGTTTTTGGATGTGAAGAAGTGGGAAATCTGCAAAACAGGAGGATACCAAATGCAGAGAAGAGTCCAATGAAATGAGGAAAACACTTGAGGGCGGAGTGGCCAGCAAGTGTTTTCGCAGCTATGTCTCTCCTCCACCTCTGGTTCAGCATAAGGCTCCATCTGCCAGGGTGAAGAGTGAGTGTGATGTCCCCACTTCGCTGATTAGAAGGACCACTCAGGGGGAGAGTGACTGCAAAAATCACAAAGGGACATTTACGTAATATTCAGCATATTTTTCCACAAGTTCACTTTTGTGTATTTTCTTTAGCTTTAGAGACACAGGCAGTTTGAACGTTTTTTTGTCTTACATTTATTTAAGGTCCTTAAAGGGCCGGTGTGGCTGCAGGTTTTTATTCCAACCTAAGCAGGAGCACATCACACACACGTCCAGGAGGTCGCACCAGTGTGAATCCACACATGCACAGGGAAGCGAGTCGATATTCTCTAGCAACAAAATAATGCTAGAGTCAACTGTAAGGCACAGCTTTTTCTCAGTTGGTAAAGATGAAATGAAAAGGTAGGAGTACAGTAGGTGCAATAGTTTTAGTAGTTGGAGTTGTACAGGTTTATTTAATTTTTTTTAAGTTGTAGTAGTCTGAGTTTTAGAGGTTTTGCAGCATTTTAATTTCCTTTATATCCTACTTTATTAGTAATAGCCTAATGATAAGTTGTTTTTTGCTCTTTTTGGCCGCTCCACCAACTTCCAAATACCTCCTGAAGATTTAATCAAAATCTGAATATTCCTTTCTTCAAACACAGATCATTACAGCAAAAATATTTTATTATTGAAAAGCCACTGTCCAAAACAACTCACATATTCTTTTTATCACTCTGAAACCTCACCATTCTTGCAGCCCTCGTTATGTTTATTTTACATTCATGGGAATATTCGGAGGAAAAACTTGACAAACAAACTTTTTTGGTGCTCCATAAAAAAACCGTCGACTGAACAAAGCTATGAGCAATAAAAGCGTGACCTCAGTCCACGGCCTCCGCTGTCTCCCCAAATGAGCACATTTTGTAGATCTACAGCCTCTCGTGAAATAGGTCGGGAAAATTCTTCAAAGCTCTTCTATGCATGACAGCAAATATAGGTGCAGGCATAAGTGTATTTTTTAATCTGAACTGCAGCCACTAATTTACATAAAAAGTCCCCTCTAGTGCACTCATGATCTATTTTTGGATAATAAGATACCGGGTCATGAAATTACCAAATGGCCATGGGCATGTTGGAAAAAACATCTTATGACCGATGAAATTACTTCATGACCAGCGCAAGGTCACTACATTCGATTTGGAGCTACATAAAAATTAGGACCCCCGACAGTAGCAGCCGTCTTTCATCTGCTCGGCTCCTCTCTTCTCCTCCCCCCCCCCCAACCCCCCCCCCCCCTCCCCCTCTTCCCTGCCCCGAGCCCCCTGAGCCCCCTCCGTCTGTACCTCCTGCCACTCAGCCTCCAGGACCCAACAGAAATGAAGGGATGACAAGAGCAATGCGGAGTGAGGAAGAGCCATGTACCGAGCTCAAGTTCAAGGGCACGACCGAGAAGGAGTGACATAATCAAAGATTAGGTGAGACTGAATACACTCTGACGGTGACTTTTAAGAGAAGCGAAATCTCGATGTCATTCCACACTTTGGACAAGTATAAAATCATGTAGTGACACGGAGGCTGAATGGATAGCACACTCGCTTCTCAGCAAGAAGGACATGGGTTTGAATCCCGGTCGGAACAGGGCCTTTCTGAGTGGAGTGTGTCGGTTTCCTCCGGGTGCTCTGGTTTCCCCTACCACTAAAAACATGCACAAAGCTCTAGAATGCACCTCCAGTTGTAAAGTTCTTTGCGACTCTGGTCTCTTGAGAGGCGCTATATAAAGAAAGATTGATTACATATCATATCCCTTTTTTTGATATATAATAGGCAAATGGCATTCCATTTTTAACTTCCCCAACATTTGTCTTTTACTTCATACACGGTGTGATAATCTACTATTGTAGCCACGGCTGCCCTGGGGCACACTTACAGGAGCGAGAAAACCAGTATGTGACATCAGCCACACTGACCACCACCAACCATTCGCACGCACGCAACGCTCTAGTTCTAGGCAATGTGAGTGAAGTGTCTTGCCTAAGGACACAACAACAGTTTGGTACTTTACAGACACAGCCGCCCCACTGAAGATATACATATACTGTTCAATGTATACAGATGTGTCATCATAACCCCATTCTGAGTTGCACAACAACTTTGACATTTTTCAAAATATACTAAAAAACACATTCATCTAATTTTGATTTGATTGCATGGCTCTAGTGCAATCGTTCAGAGAAGTGCAGCTAACATATAACCTCACTGCTTTGAATTGTTGAATCCGCTTATAGAACTTGGAGCAGTATAAGTGGGAAGCACTCAGCCCTCACAGCCAGAAGGTTGTGGGTTATTTCCAGTCCATGGGTTTGATCCCGTTCCTTTTACATCTCTTCTCCTTTTCGTTCACGACTCACAAATAAAATATCCTTGGTTGAAGCAGTGTGTAGCGAAGTTCATTATTTTTATTTGAATTCTAACGGATAAATGTCTCTTTTTTTATCACAATGATGAGTGGTCTTCTCAAACAGTTTTCTGTACAAGTCTGATCTTCAATGTTCTGTGATAAAAAACACCGGGGACCACTCTCTTTCTCTCAACTCCACTCCGCAATTTCCTCTCATCACGAAGACGCAATAAGGACACATGGCAGCAGTGACCCTTGGAGGGCTATATCTTGTCTCTTCCAAGCTCTTCAATGTTCTCCTTCGGCACTTGTATCGTAATGAAAACACTCTTCTGTGCCGGCGATAGACTTTTGGAAATATGTTACTTTTGGTCAATCTCTGCCTTTTTTATTACTTTTGGTTAACGTAGTCATGTTAACATCTCTATTAAACGAGAAGTTTGTCCTGAATGATTGAGTGACACGCCATAGGAAAGATAAAGAACACTTTCTTTGTGATGATCTACTGGGTCTAACTAAAAGGACAGTAGTGATGATTCAGGACACTCAACATTCAACATTTATGGACATTGGTCATCTGCCCTTTATGAACCACTGGCTCTCTGTAAGTAAGTAAGTAAGTAATCACTCATTACATTCATACCTATTGTACATGTGTTTAGGGGCAGGGGAAACCGGAGCAGGCATGGGGAGAACATGTAAACTCCACTCTGTTCTGACCTGGCCCTGTTCCGTCCGCCAACACATTGGGCCTCATTCACCAATATCTTCTTAAGAATCTTCCTAAATTCCTTCTCAAGTCGTTCTCAAGTAGATTTCTAAGAAGAGCTTAGATTGATGAATGCCAACTCCTCGTAAGTAGAGCGCGCATGCCAGATGATTCATTAGCATAGGTACTTAGCATAGGTAACTGCCCATTAAAGCCGATAAAAGGGCCGCGTGCAGACGTCAGAGGAAACAGAAACATGCCTGAAGCAAAGAGTTACACGGAGCCAAAGAGTCACCCTTTTTTCTTCTTTTGCTAGACAGATTAAAATCGAAATATTAGGAGAATAAAGTCAAAATAGCAAAATTTTGAGATTAATCTAAAATTATTATGAGATTAATCTCAAAATGTTGTTAGATTAATCTCAAAACATTTCGGACCCTGGAAGGAGATCGAGCGCGGACCAGCGCTGAGACCAATGCAGACCTGAGGAGAGACATATAGATAGATCCATGGGAGAGACCAGCGCGGAGACTCAGCGCGGACCCCACAACCTCCTGCAGCAGCAGTATATATGCCATTGTTCTGTGGCCCGTCGATGGAGAAATGTACCTTAGGATGGGTTCACTAATAGACGACATGATTTCCAATGTATTTTATAAAGCGTTGGCATATTTACTTTAAAAAATAATTAAGAAATAGGCAAATTTCCACAAAAATGAAATGAATAAATACATACATCAATACGACGGACATATCACTGCAATGTTGTGTTTTATTGAAATTTACAAAAGAAGACAGTACCAGCGTGCGAACAAGTCGGCACTGAATGTGCTTAAGAGCACTCGTAGGATTTGTACTTACTCAAGAGAAGTTCTGGATATGAGAAAAATTCATGAATGCCACAATCTTCGTAAAATCCTACGGATTTACGTTCAAATTTGTTCCTAAGAACGGTTCAAGAATGAGGCCCATTGTCGCCCAATGTTTTTGTTGTTGTATTTCTTGTGTTGAACTGAGGATTCTCTGATATGTTTTGGTGAATTCAACAGTTGCTGTTATGAATTAAGGACAGTTCAGTTCTCCCTGAGTGGAAGCAATAAGAAATAATACACTAAAAGTATAAATGTAAAAATCAGATAAACAATATAAAACATGTCATGTATAAATAAGATAAATAATATAAATCATGTCATTAAAAATTGGATTCAAGCCTGAATTCAGACTGAAAACAAGTTTCAACAAAAAACAATTCCAGTGAAAGCAAAGTGAATTACATTAAAACGCTGACCCTCATTTGAATGACATTGGCCTGAGTGAGTGCTCTGTTTTCTTCCACCCGACTATGTTTGCGACTGCCCTTTCCTCTGCTACTGATGTTTGTCTATGTCTGTATGAGTGACTCAAGACTTCATTATGGACCAGAGACACTTCTGCAGAAGATGCTCATGTAACCCTGAGTGGAGAACAGGTGCAGACAAGGACAAGATATTATGAAAGGATTTTCTGTCCACAGGGGGAGAACAAAGAGCAGCAGAAGAAAAACCTCCTGTTTGGAGACGATCAAAAGAAGATAAACAATATAAAACGATGTGTGTTACAAAGAATGAGATAGCTGTGTGGCCAATTTAGTGTTTGTATTGAAAATCATCTGAAAAACATCTCTCAACTGGGGGTCCGGAAACCACTTTTGGAACAACAGTTAGTGATTGTTGCTGAAAGTGGATGTGAAACTGAGAGAAATTGGACTTTTGGGTGGAGGCTGCTCTAATATGATATTACTGCACTTTTATGTTCATTATTCTGTAAAAAATCTCATAATCTCATCTCATAACAAATATCCCATAATAAAAAAGTTCAATGTTCAAAGTTTTACTTTTTTGTAACTTCTTTGCAACAAAGACAATTCCTTGTGACCTTTCCTTTGTTTTTATTCGTTTCCCCATTAACTACTGAAATGTTAGCCTGGTCGTACCACACCATAGTACAAATTACATTTCGTACTAAGGTCTGGAGGTGCTCCATTAAGCTCCGGGAACAGGTGGGAGGGATTAACTCCTTTTGCAGATTGAAACGATTGGATCTGAGTTTACTGTGACGTATGTAATACGCCCAAGTCCGTTGTTAGCATTTAGCATTTAGCCTAGCCATCTCCTTTGCCGCTAACGGAGCCCGTGGGGAGTAGCGCCACAATTTTTTCCAGCGATTACATTTGCTAAACATTCCTCTTGCTCCAGCTTCAATTTCTTGATAGAACCAGCCCGGATTGCTTTACTATCGCATTTTTTGCCATTTCCAAACTACAACCTGCCCGTTCTACACAAACTCTTTATGTCACCCACATCTAACTACAACACCCGCCTCCCGCGCTCGCTGATTGGTCGGTCGAAATTCAACCGATTGTAATCGCTAACACAGGGACCAGACCCAGACGCTACATGCAGGGAAATGATGATTGACCGGAGTGTACGGATGGCTAAGGCCAGGCTACTGAAATGTAGCTATTCTATGAACTCCTCGATGTCACAAAACTGAATGTACAATAGACAAAAGTGAACGGACAAACCAAAAATATGCTTAAATTAAAAACACAGAAATGTTATACACAGTCACCATAAATACACAAACTCATGTAAACACGCACACACACACGCACACACACACACACACACACACACACACACACACACGCACACATACACACACAGACACACACACACACACACACACACATTTTACATTTATATTTAAGTTATCTTGTAGTCTCTAGTTATTAAAGCAATTTTTTTGCAGTTGTTTTCAAGAGTGTGAGCTGTTAGGCAGCTGGACATCTGCCGGCATGTTTATGTGAGTAGTCATCATGTAGCCGGAGTCAGTTGTAATCTGGGGGAAAAAAAAGTGCTTGGGGGCTTGAACTCGCAAACTGAGCAAAAGTACATTTTAGTGCTGCCTCTCTGGAGACAGCAGTGCCATCCACAGTGTCTCCATTCATATCCGCTTGTCAGTGAGAGGACAAAACACCAGCCAGAGAAAATAGTTCACCTTTCCAACTATTTTACAAGTTAAAAAGCCAATGATCGGTGCGGTTCGACAATTCACAGGTTTTAAAAGAGATTTGATACAACTGTTTTGGTATCAGTGCAGAAAAGTTCAATGTTGGAAAAGCTCAGTGCTCTTATGACAATCCAGAAGGTCAGACTTCTGTGGTTTTAACCAACTCGATTTACTGTATGTTGCAAAAGTGGAGAAGAAGTCAGAGAAGCGTGTCCAAACCAATTGTGTGGAACAGGATTGTATACTCTGCTCAAATGATCACTAAACAACTATGATTTTCTTGTAAATGGAGACCTGTTTTTGCACTGAGAACTGGGGTTTTTAAGCATATTCAAAATCAAATTCAGTTATTGCAGAATACTATATAGATTTTGCCAGGATGCGGCTGTAGTGTCATCCTGCTCTTCTTACCCCATCCCTTGATGCGATCAGGGCAAAGTGACAATCCTTCAGTTAGTGTGTAAATAAGTGAATTTAAGTTTCAAAAGGGGAAAATAGAAAACAACAGACAATGCAATCCACAGACCTGTTTTGTGAGAGAGCCTTTGATTCTGTATCAACGTTGTCAGATAAAGAAGCGTTCGTTTGTCCGAGTGGCTCAGCTGTTATCTATAGACAGTAGACTGAGATCAAATATTTGTTCAGGACTCTACCAGAATCAGTTTTATGACCAAAGTGCCGCTCTCGAGACGTTTACATTTCACCCATCAATATTGCCCTGTGCCATTTATTAAATGTATGTGGATCTGGAGGCTTTTTAAGAATCAATTTGGCTGCCTCTGCTCTCGCAAGTGCCACACAATCAGAGGAGAAGGCTGAGTGCTTGCTGAACAAACATTCTTCGAAGCAACAATCATATTAACTTAAACTTAAACTGGGCGGCACGGTGGCTGAGTGGATAGCTCTCTTGCCTCTCAGCAAGAAGGTCCTGGGTTCGAATCCCGGTTGGACCAGGGCCTTTCTGAGTGGAGTTTGCATGTTCTCCCCGTGTCTGCGTAGGTTTCCTCCGGGTGCTCCGGTTTCCCCTACCACTAAAAATATGTACAATAGGTCTGGCATGTGCCTCCTGTACTGGCACCCCTGCTCCCAAAAATAACAATTGTAAACCGCTTTGAGACTCCGATGTGCAGTGAAAAGGCGGTATATAAATAAAGATTACTACTACTACTACTACTATTAAAAATATGAAGTTTCTATTTTGATGTGACGTTATTACGTTTACACCAATCCTCAGTTGAAATAATGTAAACATGAAGTGATGTGTTTTCATTAAACATAATTCCATAATGTGTCTTTGAGTTGTATCCTGTTTGCCTATCGATGAAACAAGCAGCTTTGGTTTCATTTAAGAACAATTACAAAGATTGTATTGCGTTTTATTCCTATGGGCTACACACAGAGTGGATAGATTCCACATCAAGACATGCCCTTTCTGTGTTCTATGTTCAGTGTCTACGTAGGTTTCCTCCAGGTGCTCCGGTTTCCCTGACCACTAAAAACGATGTTACAATAGCTCACCGTAAAAATATCAATAAAGAAAGAAATTGAACTGGTAAAAAAAGGCTTTGTGTCCTCTGCTTCTTCTACTTCTGGCACGGTCGCTGAGTGGATAGCACTCTTGCCTCTCAGCAAGAAGGTCCTGGGTTCGAATCCCGGTCGGACCAGGGCCTTTCTGAGTGGAGTTTGCATGTTCTCCCCGTGTCTGCGTAGGTTTCCCCTACCACTAAAAATATGTACAATAGGTCTGGCATGCGCCTCCTGTTCGGCGACCCCGCTCCCATCTCTGTCTGGAGTGAGAAGACAATTGCCCAAAAAATAATAATAACAATTGTAAACCGCTTTGTGACCCTTGTCTGTGAAAGGTGGTATATAAATAAACATTACTTACTTACTTACTTGGAATGTGTTGTAAAAAAATAAATAATTGAATTTATTTCATTGAATATTTGAAGTCCAGACTGTAAACACTTGAGAACAGACCACATTGACATGTTTTTATAATCTGCAATTTAATTTAATTGTGCATAACTTTTGCTGCCTCTTGTCCAGGTCTGCATTGAAAAAGAAGTATTTAATCTAAATGGGACTTCCCGGGTTAAATAAAGGTTAAATTAAAACATTTGAAAAATTACCTATAAAATGAACTTCTGTTCCACTTGCAGTCTTTTAGACAGGTGATGTATGTCTTCATAAATTGAATAAAGTGCATCCACACTTAAAATATTAGAGGAATAAAAAGCTGAGTACTAGACATGCCTTGTTCTTAATAAATCTCTTCACTTGAGCAGCAGTGTTACAAAACACCAGGGAGCTGTATGCAGATCGCTGACTCTGTTGTTGCTTACTGTGTTAAAACATCTATTACTTTTCTGTCCCCTCAGCTGCACTGAGCTTTGAATCACAGAGATATGCCCATCGGAGAATTAGCTATCAAGGTTTCATCAAAATGAATGGTTCCACGGGTGCCTTACCTGCCTGATGGCTATGAGCAGCTTTCCATAGCAGAAGACGATGACCAGAAAGGGCAGGATAAGGCAAAAGACGAACAGGCAGATGATGTACGACATGCTGTTGGTGGTCTTGGCTGTCCAGTTCACAGAGCAGGTGGTCCCGGGACCCTCTGGACCGTAGCTGCTCCAGCCGAAGAGCGGTGGAAGGGTCCAGACCAGGGAGTAGAGCCACGTGAGTGCAACGCCCAGAGAGATCTTCCGGTAGTTAGACGAGTCGGCCTCTGTGGGGGCCACCATGGTGCTGTAGCGCTCATAGGACAGGACAGCCAGAGAGATGAGGGACACGATGCCTGGAACAGAATCAACCATTACAATCATAGGAGTATTCGATGTCAATGCTTTGTTCTATGTGTTTGTCAGTTAAAAAATGCCACAAAATGAGACTGAAAAAAAAGAACAAAATCTCGCCAATTTTTTTTCTGGACTGCCACGCCATCCATCAGATAGAGCTCTACTACTGTATCTACTCCTTCCAACTTTGCCTGAATTCTTAGAATTTTAAGATGTAGTCTGTTCATTGCTATTCACCCGTTGACCCATTGTCTGATTCATGGCGCGACAGCGGGACCTCTGAGCCTGACCCCCTCCATCTACACCTGCGGACTGGCCTGCCCGACACGCCTGGGAGCTGCTTCAGTCCTGTCCTCGTTCTACAGCCGCTGTGTGGCCTTGGTCCTCGTTCTGTAGCTTAGGTCCTGGATCTATAGCCCGTCGTCCGTGTGGAGCGTATCCCTCTCTCGATGTGGATCTCCCCAATTTTTCTCACTTTTCTCCCAGTGGGTTTTGGAGTTTTTCCTTGCCGATGCAGGAGGATCTGTTGGACAGTTAATGTCTAACAAGAAGGACTGTGGTGATGATCCAGGATACTCTGCTTTCTGCAGCATTGATGGACATTTATCAACATTCATGGACATTGGTCCACTCCCTATAGACCAATGTGTTATACAGTATATTTTTTGTGTCTTAACTGTTGGTTCTCTGATCTGTGTTCACGATTTCAACGGTTTCGTTAAGTCCTCGGAGATGACTGCTGTTGTGATTTAGGGCTATTCAAGAGTAAATTGAACTGAATTTAAACTGGGGCGACAGTGGCTCAGTTGGTAGAGCATTGGCCTTTGAGCCTGAAGGTTGTGGGTTCGAGCCCACCATAAGACCTACTACACGTCTCCCACTGTGATGACTGCTGTCGTTGTGTCCTTGGGCAAGACACTTAACCCCACTTTGCCTGAAGCCCCGACTGAAAGATCTCAGCTCCTGTGGACTCACCACCTGCAGGAGGATCAGTGAGGGGCTGGTGCTTAGTGTACTGGGTGCAGCTCTGACTGCCACCCCTCGACCCAGAAATGGATTAAGGGGAAGAAAATGGATGGATGAATTGAGTTGAATAATGAAACAGTGTGGGCTGGGAGCCTTGTACAATGAAATGAGATGCACAAATAAAACAGAACACCACTCGAAGTGTGGAATGACCAGTGTCTTTACAGAAACCTAAAATTTGTCTACAAAAAATGTTGGCCGCAAACACAGCCATCTGGGTGTAAAACCTTAATTTCACCTGACCAATTGACAAAACTAAATCATGAGAAATACTTTTGTTGTTATGTGATGTTTTTGTGGTACGACATCAAATTATTACATGTTTGTGCCGAAAGTTCCTGATATTGACGTGGGTGGATCTAAAAAGAACTGGTCTGTTTTTTATTAGGGGTCAATGTTCCAATGCTAAAAAATTTTTGCGTAATATAACCCCTTTGAGATGGCAATGTTTCTAGTGTAGGAAATGGAAGGATCAGAACAAGTAAAATGATATGTTCTCAAAAGAACAAGGTGCCCTCTCACTTCTGCATACATCTCCAGTTATATCACTGGCTGAGAGTTCTGCTCAGAGGACTCCTGGGCACAATAGTTATGAGCCAAAAAGTGTTGTTTTCTGGGATGCGGATCGAAAATAACTCTAGACAATAGTTAAATTGCCTTAACCCAATCAATTAGACAGTGAAAAAAATTGGATTATAGACTGAGTCCTGTTCTGGACTCAGTCTGGAATTCTGCCAAAGTCTTCACTAGGACTAATAAAAGTTTATGTGCAACAGAGAAACACTGAGAAGTGCACTCAATCACACAGTTTATAACAGTTTGTGACACAGGCCAAGCATTTATCTTTGCTATTGTTGTTGTGCATATATATTTACGACAGACACACAAATATGCCAACAATGTAAACCATTATGAAGCCAAACAACAATTTCGTCCATCTGGCAAGTTTTTCCAAGTACAATTTCAAATGTGCACCCAGATTAATAATGAGTCAAGGACATTAGCACACTGCTGGCTAGCCTCTGCTCTCTCTCTAAACAGTTATATGCTTTTATTTGCCATAGCAAAAAAAACATATAACTATTAAGATTTAAAACTTCACTTTTCCTCACAATGGCGGATATCAACTTTGTTTCCAGCCATTGCACACTATTTCTCTGTAGCCTCCAGATATAACACTTACTGTACTGTATGTTGTGGCGGACAGACCACTGGGATTACTGCTTTTATTAGTTTGTTTGAGCAATATAAAAATGTCAACACCAGTTTACTACCGCCCATGGTTGTGTTTGATCCGGCCACAATCACACGTAGCAACCAATCCCCAACAACAAAAGCTGCTGGGACTTTTATGTTCCCCCAGTGATTCGTTGCGAAGGATTCCTTCAATTCCTCACCACAGGTGGTCCATAGTCTACCACCCGTCTGGCCTGTCATCGTGCAATAATGTGAAATAAAGCAGTGTGACAGCAGAGTGGGTTAGGGATTAGGCCCTATGTTTTACTTAATCCTTCAAGTGAAAGAACTGGACAAAACTGTAGGCGGCCTGTGGGAAGATTTTGATTTTGTTAATGTCACACTTGTTAGCTCCTGTACATTATTGTGGGAGGTGTAAAAAATATATATATATTCTGGTTTCGCCTTTGATCAATGCTGGGGTCAAAAACGAGTTCTAAACTAGAGCAGATCTATTATGTGGCTGAAGTCAATTTTAACATATGAGAACCACTGACAAAGAACACATGTCCTAACAATTTCTCCAATTGTATCATTACAAATAAAACAATTAACCAAAATGGCAACATTAAGTGGACACAACACGATTCTACTCTATTTTATAACCACTTTGGCACTATATTACAGATATTTTTCACATCTTTTAACGTTTCAAATTGAGCTAAAATTATGTAAAAGACACGAGTTGTGTAGGCCCTCCTATAGTACCCGTGTCTCACAAAGCCGCTCCGCTCCTCGCTGACAAAGTTGCGTTGCAATTATATACTGTTTTATACTTTGAGCAAAACCGATCGTAGAAGACAGGTGCATGCTCCACGTATCACAGATTCAGAATAGAAAATTGCCAAAGAAAGTAAGTAAACTCTCGGCAGGCCTAGTTCCAGTTGTCAGAGGACTGAGAGGAGAGCAATGGCAATGCATGTAGGACATTAATAACTAAAACAGATATTAATCATACTGAAAACAGTTTTGTGTGTGGAAAAAGCATGTGAAAACAACTATAACATCCAAATCAGGGAGCTGAAATCTGAAAAGTTTATGTTTAGGTTCCCTTTAATAAACCGTGACCTCATGCACTGCATCAATATGCCATTGTAAATTTAACAGTGCCATCGCTGTTATATAAATAGTTGTGTGGGCTCAGGTGAGACAATGATCTGCAATTTCTGCGATTGCTAATGTTTTCCCAGTGTCTCTGACTCCCTGTTATCTTCCTCCATCCAGACGATGCAAATCAAATTTGTCGCCTGAAATTGCAAAGCTAATTAACAGTTCTCTTCTTGGGACTCTTATACAAAGCCATTAAGAGATAAAAACTTAATACTCCACAATGACAACTGTAACCTTTATATTGCATAGTCATTCATCATCCCACATAGGTTTGGGGGAGGGGGGGGGGGTGGAGGAATGTAACTAGAGACTAGAGACTGCATCAAAGAAAGCAACCAAATCTAATATTCCCAAAAGAAGACACGTCCTGATCTGATGATGTCTGGAATCAAAAAGAGGCATCTTTGTTCAGAGACTTCTGTGTGTGGCGTGGAAGGAAAAATTGGGATAAAATCCTCTTCATACTCTATGCTGTAGTCTCTGCTTGTCCCTGACAGTGGCTCCAGCGAACCACACGGTGATGGAGGAGGTGAGGATGGACTCGATGATGGCCGAGTAGAAGTGCACCAACATCTGTGTAGGCAGCTTGGCTTTCCTGAGCAGGGGTAGGCCTATGGTCTGCCTGATGTCCAAAATCATTCAAATTACCGCTGTCCTAGGACCAGTGTTGGGCACGTTACTTTGAAAAAGTAATTAGCTGTAGTTACAAGTTACTCAAGTTACTTCTCCCAAAAAGTAACTGAGTTACTAACTGAGTTTCTCCACTATAAAAGTAACTAGTTACCATTATTGCGTTACTTTTTTGTTTCTCACACTTTTTTGTTTCTCACACACTGTATAACTAAATAATAGCCAGAGGTGGAACTGGGAGCGGTAATGTTTTATGGAAGATAACATTTCGTGCAGTAACTGTGGTTAACACATCAAAAAGAAAGAGGGATTAGGACAGGATAGTTTTTGGCTCTTAACAATTTGGTAATTCCTATAAATCAAACTTTTTGTTAGGTTTCATTTTGATGTTTTTTGTAACCAATACAATATTTAAAACCACTACCTGATGGAAGGATAATCAAACTAGACATGCATGAGACATTGGCCGTCAGCATGTAGTGCTTGTTTATTTATGAGACAGGCTCATTATCTGGCTGACCTTTCTGCCAGAGTGTGCTATTGTTCTCCCTTTTTCCCCATTGCTTCCTCCTCTCATGACAAATTATCTTCAACTGAACAAGGTGTTGCCACACCATGCACATATTTTGAGAAACAGAAGGCTCTGATTAAACTTAGTTAATATTTAAAAAGTAAAAATATATTAATAATCCTTTTAACAAATATATGTATTAAAATATATATGACATAAAATTTCAGAAAACAATTGAATTCTATAATAATCTTGTCTAATCTTGTGTTTTGAATTTGAGCTTGAATAGACATGGTTCAAGACATAATTGTCTTCTTTACAGGTTCCAGAACTGAAAAGAATTGTACAATCTTTGTGACACTGAACGAAATAGATGCTCTTGGAAGCTTTGTAAAGTCCAACATTGCAAATATAAATTAGGATGGCAAAAACAGAGATTGTGATAAACATAATGTGAACATAAGATTGTTATTGTAAAAATACAAAAAAACTCCCATTTGGAAAATAATGAAACCCTTTTAATTGTATGTCAAGTGTTGAGAAGCTCTGGATCCAGTGTCTGATACAAAAGGTTGGCAATGATTGCGCTGCTCTGCTGTTGTCATTAAATGCAGACTTCTGCAGTGAAACCAGTGGAAAGTTGACGAGTGCTTCTCTGGAGATGGTGGCGTAGAGCAGGCACACCTCGTCATTATTCATCCAGAGACTTTCTCTCTCTGACCATCCTCTCTCTGTCTGTGCTGTGTTTTATATGAACCCATTCAGGAATTACTCATCCATAACCAATGAACACTGTAACGATGTCCGTAAGCTATTTCTCCCATCGCTCACATACACACGCCTGTTTCGGCTCGGAGGGGCAAGTCCTGTCAGAAAAAGTTTTATAAATTGGCTCCTTGTGGACAACAGTGTTTCACATCTTCAGATGGTGCTTAATGGTAGTATAACACTAACGTTAACGTAACTGCAGATATAATCAGAGAGGATCAGGCAATAGGAAATTGCAATTTGAAAGCTTTCTCTATATTCTTTGCAATTCTGTTTTGGAAATAGCATCTTATCTGAGCTGCAGAATGTTAAAAGGCACGCTCATGCTTTCTGAGTAATACAACTTTTGGAAATTTCTTTTGATTAAGTTGAGCACACGCAGTGAAACTTTCAACAATAACAGTGGGATTCATACACTAATGCCTGGTGTTGCCAAAGGGATCACCAGGAAATAGTGTAAGGAAATGTGTTCAGCTTCTGTAATTTGTCGTTTTTCGCTTGGAGCGATCCAAAAGATACATGCTCATGTACTTAAAGGTTCAATTTTACCACAACGGTATAAACATCGTTAAGATGTTCCTTACTGAATAAAACCTGCAGATAACCTTCACAAAACCTTCAAATAATCTTTTGTGAGAAACCTTTGGGAAACCTTTATGAAACATTTCCTTTATGTAATATGAATGGTCCTTGTACAATAAACATGACGTGTTATGACAGCTGCCAGTGGTCTCTATACGTTTTTCTTTTCTTTCACGCACTTTAACCTACAGTTATGAACTGAGCTTGAGAATCTACAGGCATCTGCCTCACTGGCTCATGATGATGTGTGAGTGTGGATGTTTGAGTTGCTGAACAGTGGGAGGCCGTAATGAAATATTTATAACCACTTGATCAGAGGAAGACGAGGCTGCTGACTGCTGATGGACGCCTGCCATGAGCGGTTGTTTAAGGATCTGTTTGTGAAATACACCCAAACTACTTTCACAGAACTGATGATGATACATTGATGAAATCTAGTTTCTCAAAATGGTTTATATATTTAGCCAAACACAAAGGCAAACTTGCCTTGCCTTTGTGTGTGGAATGGGTCATTGAGGCCTCTGGCTTTGAGCATTGCCCATGTCTTCTCTGCACATCAACCCAACAGTGGATTTGGGTAACAACAGAATGAAATGGATTTCCTTCACAGAGCTGGGTTCAATCCATCCATCCATTTTCTTCCCCTTAATCCATTTCTGGGTTGGGGGGGGGGGGGGGGGGGGGGGGGGGGGGCAGTCAGAGCTGCACCCAGTACACAGAGCACCAGCCCCTCACTGATCCTCCTGCAGGTGATGAGTCCACAGGAGCCTTGATCTTTCAGCAGGCAAAGTAGGGTTAAGTGTCTTGCCCAAGGACACAACGACCAATCATCAGTTGGAGTTGTGAGGTAGGTCTCGTGGTGGGCTCGAACCCACAACCTTCAGGTCCATAGGCCAATGCTCTACTGAGCTACTGTCTCCCCAGAGCTGGGTTTTAGTGAGGAATTAGATGCACAGAAGGAGCTCAGGGTAGAGCTGCTGCTACTCATTTCATTTATTTATTTATTTCAAACCTGCAGGTGTATACAAACGGGAAAACGAAAATACAACGTCAGCTTGGTTTGAACTCCATGTTGAGAACAGCCTGTTGTCTTGCTCCCAGGTCATCAGAGGTGGTAAGTACTGCTGTAATTGAGTACGGCTTTTCTGAGCTTTTCAACCAAAAGATCTTTAAAATGGCTTACTGACTTTGCAGATGGAAAAGCTCATAAAAACAGGTTTGAAGTGCATGGTTAGCCACACTTAACTAGTTACTAGCTGCCCTTATAAGCCATTCACCATTTCTGCAGTATTTAACATTCCTACATCATAATGCACAGTGTTTCAATGGTAATATTTAAAAGTTCTTGAATAATATATATTATTATTTGAACATTTTACTTAAGTATATAAAATACTGTACTTTCTCCCTAACTTAAGTTATGGAATTATGGAGTAAATTCTATAAACTATACCTGTGCTTTGACTACCACTCGGTCAGTACCTAAGAGTTTGCTTTTGCCATCTCTGGATGGCGGTGTTTCAGGCGTGTCCCATGAAGAGGCACCGGTGAAGACCCAGGACAGAGGGTCTCTCCTGGATGAGCTGTGAGAGTGCACATGGACAGTCTGCGTCTCTGTACCGTTTGCGAAGGCAACGGAAAAACGTGGATGAATGAACTACTTCCATTTGAGCACTAAACAATGGGATGTGATTACATTGTTGATTGTTAAGGATAAATCACTGGAGGGCTGTGAGCTCATTCTGGAAAATGTAGGGGACACCATGGGATGGTTGTCTCATTTCTTTTTATAGCCACAATAATGATCGTGCGTGATTGGAAAGGGTTAAAGCCAGCGTAAAAAATGCCTCGATTGTTTGTGACGTCTCACGACACACAAACTGAAATGTGAACTAAACTTCCAGTAGACCTACTCTCACAGCTTGTCTTGACACGGCCTGGCCGCTCAGCTGAGTGGACAACTGCTCCTGAAGCGCTATAGTGTGAATCATCTGTGGCATCGTTTTGGCTCGTTTGCATATTTATCAGCGCTGCGGGAGAAGTCAGCTCATAATAGTGGTGAATCTGCCCTTCTACACGGGCATGCTCATAACCAAGAGCGTGTGTCACAGTCCTGTCCCACCATCAGCAGCGCGTCCCGCCAAATGAGCCACAATGATCCTCCACAGCGGAGCTGCTGTGCTTGCCGCAGGCGCGGTCCACTAACAAGCAGCCACCAAATATGCTACTATGTGTCGAAGCAGTGCATACAAGATACCATAACATGGATTGTTATGAATCCATGCGCTTACATTGCAGACTCGATAGTTAACAGCACTTTACAACTCCCCGTACAAGCCCTCGATCTGCATCCGCTGTTGCCCAGTCCAAAGCACGTGCCTACTACCCCACAAAGCACAGGAATTTAAGTTATCTTTCAAAGGTTTACCGTAGACTGTGTCTTTAACAATTTGCTAAATTGCACCGCCTACAGTTATTTTGATGAATTTGTGACTGATTCCGGGCGCAAGCTGCATATTTACTGTGGTCTTGATGATGTAGCTTGAAGCAGGATTTGCAGAACATCACAGGCAACCCCTGGCTTTCCCTAAACACATATTCTCTGTGTAACTCAGTGCATGAAATACATCCCGACCATAGGTTTGTGGACAGGCTCTGCGTAATTAGAGAAGCAGCTTGCTGTCTCCATCCCTTTACGTATAGTATAGTACTATAAAGTATATTATTATATAGTCTAGTGTAGTACTATAGTATATTATAGTAACATAATGTGTTTTCTGTCTTGTATTGAAGCCCACACCAAGCACAACATTCACGGAATATCTCGAAAAGCTCAACACGCACTTCTCTCGGACCATAACGCCGTTTCTCAACAGCTCTGATCCAAACCAAATGCAGTACATTAATAAACTACTTACCAAAGAGAGAGTTGGCGAAGCCGTACCACATACATCCTCCTTTGCCGATGAGCCAGCGTCCCTGCGTGCTGGCGGCGAAGCTGAACGGCGTGCCGAGCGTGCACACCAGCAGGTCACTGACAGAGATGTTGATGAGCAGCAGGTTGATGGGCGATCGTAGCATCTTGTAGCGGCAGAACAGCAACAGAACCAGCACATTGTTCACAAACCCGAAAGTTCCGATGAAGCCCAGGCACACGGCCACCACCAGGTTCCCCGTGGGGCTGAGCGTGCGCCGCAGCGACTGTTCTTCCCCGGAGACTGCGTCCAACTCGTCCCCATCCCAAGCTCCTGCTCCGGAACACACCGCGCTGTTGTGCCGCGCGCAGTCGCTCAGGTTGGACAAGATCATAGCAACTCTGTCTCACTCGTTTCCTGGAGATGTGCTCAATAATGTGTGCCTGCCATATGTCTAATAAGCGTGTAAGAAGAAGCATTAAGCTCCCCAGCACGTGCGGACAGTGTTGACTTTGTTATGTTGTGGAAACTGCAGGGGCAAATGGAAGGACCGAGTTTGGTTTTGTTCTCCACTGTTCTCAGTCCATTAAATCTCCGGAGCACCCTCCGCCAGCGTCTTCAGTTTGGATATTAGGCTCCGAGCGTTATCCTCCTCCTCATCATCTTCCTCGCGTGGCTCAGCCCCGCTCTACGTAAAAGCCAAGCACTCCTTGTTTCAGTCTTACTCCAACTTTCAGGGCTCATCTTTGTGCGCTTTTACGCACATCCAATGAGCGCGTGCTGCTGCCCGTCGCTCTCCATGGTGCTGAAACCGCAACTGCTGCGAGTGGAAATAGAGATGTACATGACTTCAGCATGATCTTTAACGGCCAATAGTGGCACCCTATCACTGACAGAATCAAACTTGTATAGTTATTGGTTCATCTGGTGACCATTTGCCTTTCATCAAATCAATGCAATTTTGTATTTACATATATAACATCAGCAGTCATATCAAAAGGTATGAGAATCGTCAACTTGTCAACAGATAAAAAAAAATATATATCATAGAATAGTCATTGGTCCAAATCAATGCTTAGATTCTCATTAAACAGATTGTCACGGGATATGTGTGGTGTATGTTTAATTCGTTTTTTTCTTTTTCAAATAAATCTTTACAGGAAATTATGAACACAATAAACACTAGACCTATTGTTCATATGTTCATAATATTTATTGATTAATACATTTGAGCTTGACCTTACTAGTATTTCTCATGTTTGCCGGAAATTGGTCACTGAGTCATACCAATATATTTCTGTACTTGTCACAGATATAGTAGTGATAAAGCCTTATGTAAGGCTCCGTCAGGCAAAGCCACAGAGTAAACCCAGCATGTCATTGGTGTCAAAGGGCTTTATGTTTGTTCGTTCCGTACAGTCTCCAAATAGAAAACCCTTTCAAGCATTTTCCAATGTCCACTGCGTCACCCATCGTTTCCCTCTTTCCCTCTACCTGGATATGGATTGTTCCCATCCATCTGCAAATAGTAATAATCCTTTTCTCCAGTCGGTTGGGAGTGCAGAATGATGGTTTTGGGTAGAAATAATGAGGAACATGGAAATGCAAAGTGTCACATTTTGTGTAAAAGAATAAGACTTGTTTTCAGGAAGTTTTCCGCCGCTGTCAGCTCTCAACAGTGTGTATTACGTTACATTGTGGATCAAGCAACTGTCCTGCATCTTATTGTGACTTTGATTTTACCTCCACTCAAGAGTAATATTGGAGTAGGAGTAGTAATCGGAGTAGTAATAGGAATGTACTATAGGCTTTGATAGGGTTAATTGACTAGGTTATTTATTTGCAAACAGTCCACCAAGATGTTTGGCATTGTATTTAATCAACTAACCTAATCAACCATACTCACACAATCAGAAAGTGGAGGCCTGGCTGGTTACTCATTTCCATTTGGAGAAAAATGTGGCCTTCGTATCGGAGGACCTCTGCAACCAGTTTCATTTACAAACACATCCGTTGAAGGCTGTCATTTGTAAACAGTATTCTCATATTTTGAAGGAGATGTGCACCTGTATCCAATATCTACCTGTTATTCATAATGGACTTCTGTGACTCCCTATTCTCTGTGTCACAGTGAAGCGTAGGACAGAGCCAAATTGTGTCTTGTGCCACAGACTGTTGTGGGAGTGTGCAGGGTGTTGAAGTTCTGGGAGGCGGAGAAGTCTGTCACGTCTCCTGGTATCATATCCCCTGTGGTCCCATTGTTCTACTTCTCCTCCGTACTGACTTTTTCTCGACTTGGACTGAGAAGGGTTCTTCTGGCTGAACTGACAGCCTCTAAAAAAGATTGTTCAATGAGGTGAAAGCCCTCGCTCACCTGCTCACAGGTTTTGACATTTACTGGCATTGTCCACCTAGAACTGTCCATAGCACAAATACATGGCAATAAGGAGTACACGATCTCCTGACAGCCTCTGATGAAACTGATGGATTTTGGTCCAGTCTATTGTAAAGTTTGTGTAAACTTCAGCGTCTCCCTCTGTCCTTTGCATTTGATCCATCCTTTAGCCCACACCCTCATGCTGTTGTATCACACCCTCATGATGCTAACATGTACAGTAGTATCACACCCTCATGATGCTAACATGTACAGTAGTATCACACCCTCATGATGCTAACATGTACAGTTGTATCACACCCTCATGCTGCTAACATGTACAGTAGTATCACACCCTCATGATGCTAACATGTACAGTAGTATCACACCCTCATGATGCTAACATGTACAGAAGTATCACACCCTCATGAGGCTAACATGTACAGTAGTATCACACCCTCATCATGCTAACATGTACAGTAGTATCACACCCTCATGAGGCTAACATGTACAGAAGTATCACACCCTCATGATGCTAACATGTACAGAAGTATCACACCCTCATGATGCTAACATGTACAGTAGTATCACACCCTCATGATGCTAACATGTACAGTAGTATCACACCCTCATGATGCTAACATGTACAGTAGTATCACACCCTCATGATGCTAACATGTACAGTAGTATCACACCCTCATGATGCTAACATGTACAGTAGTATCACACCCTCATGCTGTTGTATCACACCCTCATGATGCTAACATGTACAGTAGTATCACACCCTCATGATGCTAACATGTACAGAAGTATCACACCCTCATGATGCTAACATGTACAGAAGTATCATCACTGTGAATGTTTGAACCCACTTACACTTTGGTTCTGCAAACGCTTGAGAGTTACGTGTCTCTTATACTTACGTACACTATATATACATTGCTTTGCACTAGAGTATATTCAGTATGTGTATACTATATATTTTCATTCTTTGATTTTTATGAAACTTAAGATAAAAAGTAGTCTTTATAACTAAAATTATTATAGACGCTGCGCGTCGGGTTCCACTCCTTTCCCGACTACTTGCGGAGTAATCTAGTAATCTCCACATCTGAATTACAAGCAGAGGTTGCGTTGCCTTGGGCAGCTGTCATTATTGTTTTGAGAGGTCAGTTATCAAAAAATAATGACCGGTACAACGTTTTGAAATTACATTCAAATCAGTGGAGTGTTCTACTGCTGCTGTGTAATACGATATAAATATAAATATGTATTCTACGAACAATATCGAGGTGTGCAACATTTGATTTATTTTGTGTTTGTGTACTCCTCATTCCTACTGTTGTGTCACTTGTGATGCAACACTGACATTTTCCCACTGTGGGCTGAAAATAAAGGATCTCATAATCTGATCGTTCAATTCTCCAAGAGCATCATATCAGGAACATCTGAGGAATTCACCTACAAATGCAGAGCTGGTCAGAACGTGTATTTACGTCTTGAATTAAAAGATTGTGGAGTTAGGTGTGATTATGGAGTATGAAATCTGGACAGAAATAGGGTATTAACAGCTGACTTCTTAACATGAACAAATTAATCCCTGATCACTTTAATGTAGCATTTAAACCCACATACACCGCTAACAATATGCACTTGACTTTTTGTTCTGATCGAAGGTTACAGCCGCCTGAACCTCCCTCTTCAACATGCTTTGAATTCCCTGCTGCCGCACCGGAGCGAGGTAATTACCCATGAAAAGGTATACTGCGACATTTAGCCTGACAGCAATGTCCCAATATACACTTCTAATTGGGCTGAATTAAGACACTGGATTTGAATACCAGACCTATTTAATGATCTCACAGGGACAGTTGCGTGATTCCTGTGCATTTCTGGGTCAGCTCGGAGACTCCGCGCTGGGATGTGTCCAGGAGATAAAGTGCAAATGGGGCTAAAAGGCCACCTCATGAATGTGTGTAACAACAGTGTGCTCCACAGGAATGATGAGGACTTGTTCACTCATCCTTTTAGACCTCTGAAGCTGTGCAGCGAAGGCCTAGTTAGTCCTGGTTAGACCTCTGGGAACATCATGTGCCACAGGGGAGCAGCTGCGGCTCTAAAGTGTCAAACTGTCAGTGTGTCCTTAAGCAAGACACCTCACCCACCTTGCCTAGAATGAGTTTGGTGTGTGTGTGAATTGGTGATGGCCGAGAGGCCGATGGCACATACTGGTTGCCTTGCTTCTGTCAGAAATATCCCTTGCTTTTGTGAATTGTTAACCCACAAAAGCAAATTTGTATTTACTAATCCACATCACCATAACCAGTAGTAGTAGTAATTCCAACCAATGTTGTGTTTAGAGTCAAGGCTCCAAGTGTGACACTTTTTGTTCAGGTCAGAAATCAGTAGTCTAGTTTCCTTAAAGCAGATTCTTATACAAGCACAATTTTTATAAAACATTCATCAAGTATAAAATTAATCACAATTCATGGATTTCATTTATTTTAGTACCATGAATGCAGTGGTAAGTATAATCCTCGAGCTTGCCCTTCTCGAGCAGCTGTCATTATCAAGTCTAGGATCACTGCATTTTGTTTCCTCTCGCCCTGCAAGGGATTATGAGAAGTTGTCATTTTTGCTTTTTTACACTGTTTGGAAAAGGTGTGGAACTCAAGGTGAGAAGAGTCAGCGATAGCCTTGTGTCTTCACAGAGCCGGCATGAGCACCGCAGATCTTTGTATGCGAGCGGTGGTCGGGTTGTCAGATTGTCAGCAGCAGGAAACATAATGTCAGCTCCCAGAATCAAGGCTGCTCCAGAGAGAACGCTTCAAGAGCAGCGGCAAAAGGTCAGCACACATGAGCCGCTTGTTTGTGATAAACTCGTGTCATTTCTCTGCGTATTCCCATCACACAAAGCTTTTGGACAACACCAAGCAATGCTGCAGTCTTTGTCTTTTATGCTACATTCATTGTTTACAGACCAAAATCATAACAATGTTTGTCTCAAAGACTTTTCTAAA